CTGCGCAACAATAGCATGGACAGCTTGGACAAGGAACAATTTCAGTTGCTCTATCTACAGCTGCAGTACGAACGTTATCGTCGTGAAATACACGCTGAGCGTAATCGTCGTTTAATGGGCCGTTCACGCGACAAACGTTCCCTGGAAATGGAACGTGAACGTCTGAAGGAACAGCTGAAGGATTTCGAAATGAAAAACAAAGAGCTTAGCTCGCAATTGGACAAAACGAAAAAGGCCACCAACGAGCGGGAACGGGAATACCAAGAAGAGTTGTCCGCCCTAAAGACAAAGTATCAAAATGAATTGGAGCAGAATCGTTGCCTGCGTCAGGCCAATGAAAATCTCCAAACCAAATTGACCGATGAATTGTCGCAGCGCAAAGACATAAACTACGAAGTGGAAGCTTTACGGGGTCAGGTATTTAGTTTGACAACAGAATTGCAACATGCTCAGCAACAGGCTGAGGTGGGTATGCAGTGTCGCCAGGAATTGGCGCGACTCGAGGCCGATTTCATAGTCATGGGTGAGGTTCAAATCCGGTGTCGCGACAAGCTGGCTGAAATCGATAACTATCGATCGCGCGACGAAGAGCTGCAAGTTCTGCAAGAGGCCTATAATTTGGAGCTGAAGGGTGAGAGAGTGGACAGCCACCACAATGTCGTAATCTAAGCTAATATAATTCCGCTCTCTTTACAGAAATAAAACACAGCCTGGACGATAAAACCTCTCAATTAGATAGCGCCCGTCATAAAATTCAGGAATTACATTCGCAATTGTTAAACAGTGAAAAAGTGATAACTGAACAAAAGCGCCTTTTAAGAGCTGTTAAAGATGAATACCAGGAGAAATTTGAGGTGGGTGGACAGCATTCAAAATTTGCAAATTTTAATTGGAAATTAATTCCGATTCATCTCTCATCATTACAGGCCTTAAATAAAAAATATGAAATACAAAAAACAATCATGATGCAATTGGAAGAACAGTTCAGGATGACCGTGCACAAGCCACCATCCACAGCGCCAGCACCATCTTATTCGCCGGATACAGATAAAACAGGTGGGCAAGATGGGGTTGTGATTCCGTTTAAAATAAATTTTACATTTTATGTTTTGCTTTCTTTTAGACATTGCCTCCTCGGTGGAGCGCAACTCTCCGCTGTCCACATCATTGGCGTCTAGCGAAAGTCTATCGACAAGTCTGCGTTCCTCGGAGTTGCGAAACCTACAACCGCTATTGGAAAATCCCATAGCTGAGGTAACAAGTGGCATCAAAATTGTCGATGGCCAGCGTTTGCCGCCCCAAACCTTAGATTTGGCCTCATCGGCTAACACGGCCACCAGTTTGCTAAACGATCCAAAGGAACTAAATTCACCTGAAATGATGGTGACATCAGGCGTGGGCGGCAGCAGCTCTCACACTCGTTCTATAACCATGACGCACATGCATCCACATCAACATTTGCAGCAGCAACAGTCGTCATCGTCGATGTCTTTGTCAAAAACGATACAAACACAAGCAACGAAAGCAACAACTTCATCAGCATCATCATCAGCCTCAATAGCAGCCGCAGCAGGGAATCAGGAAAAAACACAGCAGCAAAATCGTTGATCATTGCCACACCAATAGTTTTCACACACAAACACACACACGCACTTGGAGAGTGAAATGTGTTGCCTTTTAAGTTCTGTCTTTGTTGTAGACGTACACACACACTCGAAAAAATCACAAGTTAAGCTGCCCTCTGAAGTTTGGCAAACATTATGCTCCCTTTTCTTTGCTTCTTACAAATTTTGTAATAAACGATAATAATGCCAAGCAAAACGCCCATAACGAATCTTCTCTTGTAATAACAAAACAAACAACAAAGTCGAAATGTTAGACACAACAAGGACAACAACGATCTACTGACACTGGTGGTCAAGGTTTTAAAACTCAGCAAACATTTTTTTTACACAACAACACTGCTAGCAGACGAAATGACAGCATCCAAAACGAGAGGGAAAGAGAGAGAAGAAACTCCCCGGCTTCTACACAACCCCCCTTCATCACTACTACTCCCCACCCCCCTGCCCCTATTCACAAATTGCTTTAATTAGTTCTATATACCTCTTATTTAAATTAATATGTGTTTATGTTTCGGTATCTTAGAAATAATAAGCCTAATTTACAATAGTACAGCAACAACAAAAATGTCCCAGAAAACAAATCACACTTCTAAGACAAACTTAAACCCCACAACAACAACTACAAACACCACCACCCACTCACTTATCTATCTACCATAACAATAATAACAAAATGTTATGAAACTAACCCAAAACTAAGAAGGAAGAAGGATCAATAACAGAAATCCATCTACAAACTATTATTATAAATAAACAAACAACAACAACAAAAAAATCGAAAAATATCAACAACAACAAAAGAAAACAATAAAGCAAATCAAAAATCTATTAATGTTGTGTTTTTTTTTTGGCGCTCAATGGTACTCTAGTATCACAAGAAGTAGGAAACCTGAGGAGAGACGTGTTGTAGCTCATTCTCAGCATGGGAGTTTCAAAGAAAGCTCTAAAAACCCTCTACCATATTAAACCTTCACTTGTGGCCAAATCGACTACCCTCAATGGTATTAAATGTTGTTGCAAGGAACTAATTCACCCACAAAGAACCCAGAGTATCAACCCAGCATATGCTGTAGTATCCTTTACGAACTTCAAATACCAAATTTGAAGCAATTCCGGCGAATAATGCAGCATAAATCATCAAAATACCGAAAATAGGGAGTTACCATTATATGGGGGCTATACGAAGACTTGAACCTGCAGCGACAATATTCTCTCATAGGCTGTAGTATCCATTACGACCTTCAAATACGAAATTTGAAACCATTCCCGTGAATAATGTCGTTAAAATCATCAAAACACCGAATATCGGGAGGTACCATTATATGGGGGCTATACGTAGACGTGGACGTGCAGAGACAATTTTCTGTCATAGGCTGTAGTATCCATTATGAATTTCAAATAATGAATAATGTCGCTTAAATCATCAAAATACCGAATATCGGAAGGAACCGTTATATGGGGCCTATACGAAGACGTGGACCTGCAGAGACAATTTTCTGTCTTAGGTAGTATCCATTACGAACTTCAAATACCAAATTTGAAAATTTGAACATTTTATCAATCTACTTCATTTCGTTCGGAAGCTAGAGTGATGTCCACAAGCGGACGGACATCGCTAAATCGACATAGAATTTTATGCTGACCAGGAATATGTATGTACTTTGTGGGGTCTAAAATGTATATTTCGAGGTGTTACAAACGGAATGACAAACTTAATATACCCTTCATACTATGGTGGAGGGTATAAAAATTCCTCCGACTAATTGGCAGAATGTTGTCAGACAAGTTGGAAAAAACTTCAGACATTTAGCCGACGTCCGACAATTGCTTCAGCTTTCAAAATACAGTTATGTTGTTGTAGGATCTCGTACTGTGGTGTTCGTTCTGATATCTCTTCTAATCTGGTCCTGCTTCTAACTCCAAGTTCTAAAAGAAAGCTACCTGTCTTGTTTGGGTCCAAAGGGAGACGGGACTTAGGTGAGTAGTTTTGGCTGGCCAGTTAAATAGGTGCAGCGTGTCATGCGTCAATTCGAGCCCCATATGAATTTAGGCGTTTGCACCATCCAAATCTTCAGCTGCAATGGAAGACGGATAATCTTCGAGTATGGTATTCACTTTGTATTCTGCCATAATTCCTGTGACCGCCGAAGAGTGAATTTTATTCTATCCTGTTTGATAGGCCTGTTGATCTAGAAGTTCTATCTTAAATATCTGTGCATCTCTCTCTCTCTCTTTTATATCTATGTACCTCTCTCACTATAGATCATGAAGTTCTCTCCTTACTTGCCTGGACGAAAGTTGCCTATCCACCAGATGGTGTGTGGGATGGTTGTGTTTATAACACCCAAGCAAGTATTGGATAAGGAGGCATCCTGTTGCGGTTCTTAGGACGGCGTTATGGCGGTACTGAGTGTGTTTCGCGTTGTAAGAGGAGGAGGACAACTCTCCGATCAGGGGCCGTCAACCCTGCAACTACATGACACCGCTATGTGGGGGCTTTATATTTAAAAAAGGGACTAACTTTATATAATTTTTGTTAGGACTAAAACTACTCGCTGAGAACCCGGAATATCTAATTATAGCCAATTCGGTTGGAGATTGTGACCAAAACTTTCGAAATACTGAAAATAAGAAGTTGCTTTATGTGGGAGTTTTGCCAAAACAGTTGATCTACGCTAAGAATTTTTTGGTAGGACATAGACCAATTGGTGACCCAATATGTACCATTTTCAAGGATGTTTATCCCTTCAATGTCCCTGCTACATTTCTTCAGTAGTACGAGCCCTGTCGTTATGTCAAGTTTTAGTTTTCCCCGAAGAACGGACGAAAAAAATTCAATAATCTCTTTATTGTATGGTAGAGGTTGGAGATATTATGGCCTTTAATTTTCTTGTTGCAGATGAGCTTCAGTGGCCTATCAAGAGTAGATTTGGTTGACATTTTATGAGGTAAATTGTTTTTCAGCACCGCTGCTAAAACGCAAGGCGATGAAGTTTGACTCGAAACCTCTAAACTTACATACAAACATGTCAGTTTGCCTCTGATCTAAAAGACATTAAAATATACCAATAAACAGCTGTGGCCGAAAACTGGTTTCAATTAAAATTTGAAGTCGTTCTAAGGTGATGAATTGTCTGGAAAAAATTATTTTTTCGAATGAAAAAGAATTTGACAAATTTGCATGTAAAGGCTCAGAAGCTCTCTGAGAGGGTTTCTCAACTGAAACATTATGTTTCTTACTTCTTGCTTAATAACTATTCACAACTCTTCTATATCAAAATAGCAATGGATCAAAAATCGGTCTACGGATGAAGGGGATTCCATTCATGAATCAGGATTAAAATGCTTATGGAGTTCCCAACCAAAATTCGCATATTTATGTTGTTTCAATTTCTCCTTCGATAACTCCATCTTTATTTAATCATCTTTCGCACATTTTGTGAGTATACATTCCACACTGTTTATTGGGAATTGGCATAATATTTGAATAATATTTTTAAGCCCTACAATTTTTTTCTTGGACAAGAATATTGTCTTTTGCTAGAGATTTTATATAGTTATGAATATTATTGACAATGTTTGGAAAACAGGGGACAAGGATATTTTACTAGATGACTTAATTAAATGAAATTATTTTAAATTATACAATTATGGTGTGTGTGCCAGTAATTACATTCTTATTTGGCAAACATTTATAAATTGATAATTAACTTATATATAACTTGTTCACTGCCTGGAATCAGTTTCAAACATAATAACTACAATAAAATGAGATAATAAAAGTAGTAGAAAACATATGCATACAATAAAAAATATTAATACAATTTCGTCTTCGAGCACGATGCGATCGGTGTGGTGATGTTGCCCAGCACATTGAGAACGCTTACAATGACATTGCTTTGAATAGCTCAACTATTTTGCTTGTTCCGAATCGCTGGAGGACATTGCAGGTGGTGTAGAACGACCGTCTTGCTGTACTTGATGTTGGTTTACTAAACGTTGACGTTCCAAGTACATGGAAACCTTTATGTTGCGCACTTGATGGTTGTTGATCAGTTTAAGGAGGGCAATTACACCAATGCCCACATTAATGGCAAATGCACCCCAGGCACCAAACTATGGAATACAAAAAGGGATAACATTAAGAATTAATGAAGAATATTTTCGGGTACTGTACTTTCTCGCCATACCTGTGCCGTTCCCATTTCAATATAAAACCTGGAATTATCAATATTATCCGTATTGGCATGTATGATATTTTGTCCAGCTGTAATTTCACACGTTGGAAAACGTTCAGTCATGCCATCGCACCAGACAATGAAACCCAATGTTATCATTATCGATGAGATAATGGACATTGCCAGCATCCAAATGCTTAGGACCACATCAACAAACAGAGCCAAAAATGATTCCTCATCCTTCATGCGGGCATAGCGATAGATTTGCGTCGATGATATGATGAACATGAAAATGCCTGTGACCAATGGGAAATTACAGAAATCTGATGAGGCCCATTTGGGATCAAACATGCCGTCCTCTTCACGCCATTTTCCCGTCGTAAAGAGCAAACAATGGCCACTAGTCAAGGAGTAACAACGAATCGTATTAAATTAGTCATTGTTTTTGTTTGTTATCATTTCGATGAATGAATGAATGGAATCGAAATACATATATATGTTTGTGTACTTACCAAAAGTCATGTATATTAAAGCTTAAGGGCACCACCACACAAAGGGCCAAAATCAGAATAATTACATGCCCTGTTATTTGACTTAATAGCAAAACATTGGCAAGAGCCATTTCGTGATTGGGTCTTTAAGATATTTGCCAGGGAAAATTCAACAATTTCTTTAGAAAGTCACAACAAAAACAAACAATTGCTCGAGAAAAATTGCAGTGAAACAACGCAGTTGCATGCAGAGTACAATGTTAATACAATGTTGTGGACGACGCCGTTAAATTTCCTATTCAAAAGTGTTTTTATCGAACAGCTGTTGATTTAGGGTTACCCAATCTATGGGAATGTTAGTGAAATGAACTCTTAAAATCGCTCTGAGACTAATTTACCAGATGTCCACACAAGTCAATTATTGTTAAAATAAATGGTCCGTTCTAGAACCTACAAGAATCTACTAGTTTTGCAATTTTTTCGATATCATAAAGGAGAAGTCGGAATCGTAGTAAACATTTTTAAATTCCTGCTGTTCTAGAACAGACCATTTTTTTTAAATTGAAAAATGAAGCCTTCTGGCTTTTTTCGCGTTTATTGAATAGAATAGTTCTTCGTTTTTTACATAACCATGGCGGGAATAGACTAAAAGAATCTTAGGAGATCACTTTATCGATAACAGATGTGATTCTGCCATCTATTACTTTAATTTATAATTAGATTTTATGGTATAAAGAGCCCATGGTATAATTAAGAAAGTAAAATCATGAAATCATATTTTTGCATTTTTTTTTTAAATTATACATTTGATCACATCTCAGTGTCAAAGTTTATATTTATAAATCCATTGTATAGACAGAAATCAGAGATGGGAACCGGTTTTTTATTCAGTAAAATTTGACAAGGTAAATTACAAAAAATGCAGATGGATAGTCTTATTTGAAATGACTTAACTTTATGCAGATTGATAGTCTTATTTAACTGTATCTTCTTAATTTTACCATGGAAGAGCTCATGGTATAATGAAATAACGGTAACGTTTGCCAGGTCTTCTGTATGCTCTGAACACTTCGACATTGCTCATGTGGTGAAATCTGGAAGAGAATATTATCGCGAAAATATTCTGGAGGGTGTATGGGCTAGCTAACATTTTGGCCGCAGACCTTGGACATTCCCACAGGACTCAGCACCGTAGCACTCACCACGCGCCACTCAAGAATGGTTACATAATGAGGTTCCTCGTTCTATTTCCAGCGCCATCAAATGGCCACCAAAATCTCCGGATACCAATACGTTGGACTATTGTGTCTGGAGTATTTTGGAAAGCAAGGTTGGCACTAAAAAATACCAAAGTGTCGATCACTTCAAGCAAGCGCTTCGCCTAGAATGGACCAAAAATACCGCAGAGCAACATTCGGGCAGCTTATGACGGTTTTATTGGCCGTTTGAAGGCCATAATTCGTGCCAAACCTGATCAATTCTAACAAATCTAAACTTATTCTAAAATTTGATGCTATTTCCGTAATTTTTTGCTTTCATTTAATAAAATTTAAAAAAAAAAAAAATTGGCGATTTGGCTGAGAAAATTTAGATCAAGTTTGTAGATAAGCAGTATTGGTCCAATCCTAAAAAAAGGTCAGCAATTTCAAAGAAAATAATTTACCTAATACGACAAAAACCATAACCAATAACCATATCAGTGTTGGGACGATATCAGTCTGCTCTCTCAAGTACCTCGCTCACTAAGGGTCAACATTTTGAATAATTTTATCTCTCATAAAATGCATAATAATCATGCCTCCCACACAAAAGTAGACATTCTGATACATGACGTTTTCCTTTTGGTTTTGTTTTTCTTTGTTGGCAATTACGAATTTGTCGTGATTATTAGATGTTAGGGCGAAGCAATTTTTAGGCGAAAAACTAAAAACAAAAAATTGACAGAAAAATTTAAAGACAGAGCTGTATTTTTTAACAATTCGCTTCCTGGCCGACCTTATATATGCCTTGGTTTAGACTTTTCACTCACAATAGTTCATTTTAGTTTTACAAATTTTTGGAAATAACTCAAAAAATGTGTTAACGCATCTCTTTCTATAATTATATTTATTATCATGCTTCTATTATGGGCAGTGTCTCTATTTATAAATAATAAATTCACATAAATACTTATTCCAAAACACATTCTGTCTTGTCTTTACAATTTCCAGCATTTATCTTTGTTTAACGCAGGCTTACCGTTATGAAGATCTTGTGTGTAAACACTACGTAAACGCGTGTCCCTGTGGCAATTGACGTACGTCTTCATGTAAAGGTACCACGTTTGCAACAGCTGTTTTTCCCTATGCTTCTGCATTTTCATTCTAAACACCGACGTTTTGCTTTGATCAGGCATTCGTAACAAATGGATTTTTGCTTTCAACACATCTTTATTGGATATTTTTTTCTGTTCTCACTTTCGTATTGAAACGCCTTCAAATTAAGAGATTACTAATATTTTGCTTGTTAGAGTCTAATAAGTTTTCAAAATGCTTTCCCAATATATGGAAGAGTTCGAACAGGTATGGAATCGAAATATGTTGTATATCTTGTATTGAATATCAATTACATTAAAAAAATACGTTTTTCAGGAGCCCTTTGAGGTCAGTGGTTTTATTGAAAGATTAACCTGGCGTACAAACAATGAATGCGACAATACCAGCGGTAAACAGTCCCAATTGGATGGTATTATTGGTGCAGGCATCAAAGATTTCAATCCCACCGCCTTGCATGACACTTTCATACAAACCATCAAAGATTTGAAAATTTTACAGGAGAGACAACAGGCCAAATGCGAACGTCTTGAGGAGGCACTGAAGCAGGAACAGGAGGCCCATGCTAAAAATATTATTAAATTGCAGGAACGCCATCAACTGGCCTCCGATGTATTTTGGCAATTGGATGAGAAAATCAATTCAGTGGCTGGGAAAATAATCCACCTGGGCGAACAATTGGAAAATGTCAATACGCCACGTAGTCGCACAGTGGAAGCCCAAACGCTGCTAAATTATATGACGGAATTTCTTATTTCCGGACCGGTGGTAAATGATATTTTCACTGATGCCACACGTCTGTACGAAGCGGCGGATGTCATACAAAAGTTGTACGCCATTGCCCAGGATTTGCCGCCAGAGAAATTTGTCGATTCAAAGAGAAAAATCGAAAAGAAATACGATGAGGTTGAGCGGCGTCTAATCGAAGATTTCGCCACAGCGCAGAAAAGTGAAGATATTGAAAAAATGAAGCGTTTGGCACAGATCCTATCACAATTTAAGGGCTATGCCCAATGCATAGATGTCTATATTGAGCAGAGTCAAATGACACCATATGGCGGCAAGGATATATTCATTGGCATTGTACCAATGTGTAAACATCATTATGAGATTATCAAGAAGGTTTTCTCCAATCCGCAGCAAGTGATGTCGAAATTTATTCTGAACATATATCAATTGAAGCTACATCAATATGCCATGACCAAGTTAGATGATAAACGTGACGAGGAGAAATATCTGAAGACGCTGTATGAGTTGTACTCTCGGTGAGTTGGAGAGAGGGGGTGATATGGAATGAATGGGGGTGATATGGAATGAATGGGGGTGATATGATATGGTTGTTCTGTGGAATCGAAAGAAAACCAAAGTTTCAATTCAAAGATAGGACTTTTTTAAAGGAGTCATTTGTAAAAGAAAAGCTCAAAATTCAAAGGATATAGTGGAAGAGAAAAAGGGGCGATCGACAAATGTGGAAGGTTCTTGGTAATGAGAGCCTCTAGATCAACAGGCCTATCAAGCAGGGCTGAATAGTATTCACATTGACGCGGTCACAGCAGTTATAGCTGAATGCAGAGTGATTACCATACTCGGATCATCCGTTTCCCATTGCAACTGAAGAACGAGAGTTGCCGCGACAAATCAGAGTAGTTTTTAATAGTTTTGTCTCTATGACTAGAGAGCGTATATATCATTTGGTACGGTCTCTTTGGGACAAATCCGTTTCAGGACATTTGGAGTCGATCTAGCGATGTACGTCCATCCGTCTGCCTGTCTGGCTGGTGCGCACGATAACTCTCTAAGGAAGTATCCGATTTGATCCAAACTTGGAACATCGTGATATTATTGTTAGAACCTAGATAGAGTTCGGAGATTGGCAATGTCGGTCCACTTCTTCTGGTACCTTCCCCACAAAATGTTAATATTTTCCAAGAAAATAATTTACTGCACAGAAAGAGATAGGATAATCCGATTTTGCTCCAACTTTGCAAATTCCAATATTTGACAATGGACAATATTGTTCCAATGAATCAAGTACCTCCCCACAAAAGGTTAAAATTTTGAATAATTATAACTCTTCCATTGTTTCAAATTACACGCATTACAATATTTTTATTAATCCAGAGTCTGGTGTGAAGATGGAATACATCGGGTCACTCCTACTGGTACCTCCCCCACAAAGGATCAACATTTCGAGTATAAATGAAGCTGATAAAACGTGAAATTAACATCCGATTCCATTCAGACTTGGCACATCTCAATATTTTTATCAACTCAAGATCTGTTCTAAAGATAGTAGATATAGGACCATACCTTCTGGTACCTCCCCCACAAAGGGTCAAAGTTCTGAATAGCCAAAACGATCATAAAAACCGAAATAAGCATCCGGATTTCTTCAAATTACACACATCACAATAATTTTATTAACCCAAGGTCTGGTGTGAAGATGGGACATATCGGTGCACTCCTTCTGGTACCTCCCCCATAGAGGGTCAAATTTTTGAATAACCAAAACGATCATAAAATCCGAAATAAGCATTCGGTTCTCTTCAAATTACACACATCACAATATTTTTATTAATCCAAGGTCTGGTGTGAAGATGGGATATATCGGTCTCCTCCTTTTGGTACCTTCCCCCACAAAGGGTCACAATTTCGAGTATCCATGAAGCTCATAAGACGCGAAATTAACAACCAATTCCATTCAGACTTGGTACATCTCAATATTTCCATCAACAAAAGATCTGCTATAAAGATGGTGGAGATCGGATCATTTCTTCTAGTACCTCCCCCACATAGGGTCCGAGGTTTTGAAAAACAAAATTCCCAAAGAAAGCGAAATAAACATCCAATACTCTTCAAATTTCTCACATCCAGATATTTTTGCTAAAGCATGAACGAATTGGTCAATATTGGGCAACTGCTTCGGAACCTCCCCCATAAAAAAGTTAATAGTTTGAATAATCATAACTAATCATAACTCAAGGCTGGGGGTATCCCTCTGTCGGATAACCCGACTGATACCATTTTACTTGTTTAACTTGGAATTAGAAGCAGAGCCAGATTAGAGAATATATCATAACGAACACAGCAGTACAAGTTGCTACAACAACAACAACGACCTAGAGAGAGGTCCAACGCTAGCACAGAGGGGGTAGCTAAATTCTTGAGCTTTGATTTGGAACCACAAACATGTATTTATGTTACAACAAAAAACTTGAAAGGATTAAATTGCAAAACATTGGGCTCGGGCGGAACCGCAGAGGTAATGTAAAAATAAGCTGGAGGAATCTGGAAACTCGCTACCTTACCTAAAACCTCAACTAGTGAAAATAGCAATTCTCTGCTACACTTATTTAACTTCTTTATCGCTTGTATGGGGTCACAGTAACCTGGAAAGCCAGAGCTATCAACGGACAATGTCCTTAATATGACCTTGGGTTGTTCTTTTATAAAAAAATACTTCGGCCGACGAGTGAAAGGTTTTAGATCAAATAGTCAGATAAAGCCTCTTGAAGACCAAGATACCTTGTTGGTCTTTTATAAATCGATATTTCGGACTTAGAGAGAGAGAGAGAGAGAGAGCCTTAAGAAAAACATGTCTTTCAGATTTCTTAGATAGAGATAAGTCTTGTCTCACAGGTCCTATAGATCCAATAAGGTTTCATTTTTTTCTTGCCAATAAAAATCTATTCAATTGTATAATATAATATATTTTTTTTTTTACTTTCAGCACCCTCAAATTATCGACTGACCTTCAACACTATATGTCAGCAATGGATGACGATTTACTCAACAAGCTGACACAGCAGATTTTCCAAAAACATTTGGCCACCTATGTGGAAATTGAATCTCAATTCCTGACAAGGAAGTGTGCCAGCGAATTGGAGAAATTCTATGCCAGTAAAAATCATCAAAAGAAACCGGCCGAACGTTTTCAAGAATTAAAACGTGATATGCAGGAGTTGATACGTACCAAGGCTAACATAAACATTGCCCAAGTTGAAGATTACGGTGGAGAGACATTCCTTTCCGAAGAATTGGCCATTAAGATGTTGCAAGATGCAAATGCCTCACTCAAACGTTGTCGTGTCCTGTCCAATGAAACGGAATTGCCCAGTAATATTATAAAACTAAATGATATTCTGCTCAAGTATCTAATGCATGAACATGCAACCTATGCCTTGGGTTTGGGTCTGAATATCATACCCATTGCCGATACGGGGAGGCAATTTCCACACTTGTACTTTTTCGATGTGGTGCAAAAGACCAATATTATTGTTCACTTGCTGGAGGATCAGTGCAATACCTCGGTGGTGCCATGTGTAGTGTAAGTGTTGTAATATTTCAATGAATTTTTTTATTGGATTTTTTTGTATTTTTCTTTAGCAATACTCCCAAATATTCGGAATATATTTTCAAGAAACGCACATTGATGGAGCAAATCGAAGCCAAACTTGATCAGGGTCTAGATCGTACATTGAATGCGGTTATCGGTTGGGTTAAGCTGTACCTAACCAATGAGCAGAAGAAAACGGATTATAATAAACCAGATTCTGATTTTACCTTAACTTCGGCGGTAAGTAAGAATTTCCTGAATATAGATTTGAAGATTTTTTATTGCCCCTTTTGGGGTAGCTAACTTGTCGAAAAACAAGTAAAATAGCAGCAGTCGGGTTTGCCGACAGATGTATACCCCCCAGCCTTGAGTTATGATTATTCAAACTGTTCACTCTTTATAGAGGAGGTTCCGAAGCAGTTGGCCAATATTGCAAAATTCGTATCTGACCTAAGACTGATACAAATATTACAACGTGCTAGATTTGGACAATATCGGCTACTCCCTATTCTTTATAGGAGATATGTGCAAATTTTTGGAAAATTTCATATCAGATTTCTGGTTAAGACTTGTTTCAAAAGTTATGATAGACATATGTATCGAAAATTGTGATCCTTTCTGGGTGAGGTACCAGAACCGGTCTTGTGTTAGCAAAAATGTTTGCATGCGTGAAAATTGAAGGGAGTTGGATGCTTATTTCGCTTTCTTTGAGCGTTTTGCTTTTCAAAATCTTGAACCCTATGTGGGGGAGGTACCAGAAGTAGTGGTCCGATATATCCGATCTTCACAGCAGATCTTGTGTTAATAAAAATAATGGGGTTTGTAAAATATGAAGAGAATCGACTGCTTATTTCGGATTTTATGATCGTTTTGGTTATTCAAAATTTTGATCCTTCGTGGGGGAGGTGCCAGAAGGAATGGTCCGATCTCTATCAACTTCTTAACAGGTCTTGGGTTGATAGAAATATCGAGATTTTCCTAATCTGAATGGAATCGGATGTTAATTTTGCGTTTTATGAGCTTCTTGGATATTCAAAATTTTGAAACTTTTGTGGGGGAGGAACCAGAAAAAGTGGATCGATATATCCCATTTTCACAGCAGACCTTGGGTTAGTAGAAATATTGGGATGTGTGAAATATGAGGAGAACCGGATGCTTATTTCGGTTTTAATAAGCGTTTAAGTTATTCGAAACATTGACCCTTTGTGGGAGAGGTACCAGAAGGAATGGTCTGATCTCTACCATCTTTATAGCAGATCTTGTGTTGATAGAAATATTGAGATGTACCAAGCCTGAATGGAATCGGACGTTATTTGCGCGTTTTATGAGCTTCATGGTTATTCAAAATTTCGACCCTTTGTGTGGAAGGTACCAGAAGGAGTGGACCGATATATTTCATCTTCGCACCAGACCTTGGGTTAGTAAACATATTGTAATGTATGAAATATGAAGAGAACCGGATGCTTTTTTTCGAATTTTATAATCGATTTGGTTATTCATAACTTTGACGCTTTGTGGGGGAGGTGTCAGAAGAAATGGGCCGATCTCTGCCATCTTTGTAAAAGATCTTATGTTGATAGAAATATTGAGATGTGCCAAGTCTGAATGGAATCGGATGTTAATTTCGTGTTTTATGAGCTTTATGGTTATTCAAAATTTTGACTCTTTGTGGGGGAGGTACCAGAAGGAATGATCCGATATCTACCACATTTTTAACAGATCTTGTGTGTATGGAAATATTAAGATGTGCCAAGTCTGAATGGTATCGGATGTTATTTTGGCGTTTTATGAGCTTAATGGTTATTCAAAATTTTGACCCTTTGTGTGGGAGGTATCAGAAGGAGTGCACCGATATGTCCCATCTTCACACCAGACCTTGGGTTAATAAAAATATTGTGATGTGTGAAATATGAAGAGAACCAGATGCTTATTTCGGATTTTATAAGCGTTTAGGTTATTCGAAACTTTGACTCTTTGTGGGGGAGGTACCAGAAGGAATGGTCCGATCCATACCATCTTTATAACAGATTATGTGTTGATGAAAATACTGAGATGTACCAAGTCTAAATGGAATCGGATGTTAGTTTCGTGTTTTATGAGCTTCATGGATATTCAAAATTTTTAACCCTTTGTGTGGGAGGTACCAGAAGGAGTGGACCGATATATCCTATTTACACATCAGACCTTGGGTTAGTAAAAATATAGTGATGTGAGTAATTTGAAGAGAACCGGATGCTTATTTCGGATTTAATAAACATTTTGATTATTTGAAACTTTAACCCTTTGTGGGGGAGCTACCAGAAAGAATGGTCCGATCTGTGTCATCTTTATAACATACCTTGTGTTTATGGAATTATTGAGATGTGCCAAGTTTGAATGGCATCGGACGTTATTTTCGCGTTTTATGAACTTCATGGGTATCTAAAATTTTAAACATTTTGTGGGGGAGGTACCAGAAGGAGTGTACCGATATATTTCATCTTCACACCAGGCCTTGGGTTAGTAAAAATATAGTGATGTGTGCAATTTGAAGACAATCGGACCCTTACATCTCATTTTATAAGAGCTATAGTTATTCCAAATTTTGATCCTTTGTGGGGGAGTTACTTGATGGAGTGGACCGATATTGTAAATTTTCGCACTTGACATAGCATTGATGCAAATATTAGGATGTGTAAAGTTGGAGTAAAATCGGATTATCCTTTCTCTTTCTGTGCACTAAATTATTTTTTTAAACATTGCGATATTTTGTGGGGGAGGTACCAGAAGAAGTGGACCGATATTGCTCATATCCGAATTCTATCTGAGTTTGACAATAATATTACGATGTCTCAAGTTTGGATCAAATCGGATACTCCCTTCGAGAGTTATCGTGCGCACCAGCCAGACAGACGGACGGACGGAAATCGCAACTTCGACTTCAAATGTCCTGAAACGGATTTGGTCCAAAGAGACCTAGGGACTAAATCCGTTATTTCGACTAGGCACGCTTTGGCCGTGTCATATGATATATACCCTTCACTCTAGCCATATGGCTGATGATATAAAAAAATTCAAAAAATCTTGCAGGTTTTGGAACAGACTCGATATAAATAAATTATATGTCCCGCAAAATTGTAAATATTCAGATATATTTTGCAATTTAATTTTGTTATTTTTTTAATTTAATTTGCGAATTTGTCTAATTAAAAAATCTGTTTTTTTTTCCTCTTCTCCTTTTTTTGCAGGCCTGTTCGCATGTCGTTCAAAACATTCACCCCGTCATCAGGCAAATTAAAAAATGTCTCGACGGTGAAAATCAAAAACAGATACTAAATGAATTCGGTGTACGATTGCATCGTGTCATCTACGATCATTTGCAGACAATGTCATTCAATACGGCGGGAGCAATGTGCGCCATATGTGACGTGAATGAGTATCGTAAGTGTATACGTGAGCTGGATAGTCCGCTGGTAACACAACTCTTCGATATACTCCATGCTTTGTGCAATTTGTTGTTGGTGAAACCGGAGAATTTACTAGAAGTGTGTACGGGCGAAACTTTGGTAAGTAATGGAGTATTTTGAATTATTACGCCTGGGCAAAAAAAAATTTGAATGACTACAAATCACTTGTCCGGTATTAAAGAAATTCCCCTCAAATTTGCCCAGGTGTCCATTTTAACCGTCATAATCTAATTTGCAAGTAATGCTATTAATTGGGATTTTCCATTGTTTTGTTGTTATTGTTATTTTTTTTCTTTCAGAATTATTTGGACAAATCCGTTGTGCGTCAATTCATACAACTACGTTCTGATTTTCGCGACATTAAAAATACCAATAACCTTAAAGGTATTATCGAATAATACCGCAGAAATATCGTCGCTGGCAGACTGACAGGGGTTTAGAACAACACCCATCAATCATCACGTAGGTAACGTGAGCGTTACCCAGCAAAACAAGTGGAAACGATCCTATCTATCTGATAAAGTATTTTATTTATTTAAAATTTTTTCTGATTTGTATTGTGTAGTTTTAAAAACAAAATTTCAGTTTTGAAAATAAAATGCATTCCTAGAACTATGTCATTGTAAATATGTGACTAATGGAAATTATTTTTCTTTTACTATTTAGACAATTTATACAGAAATACCAAGACCCCTACCTACATACGGAAATAGAAGAAGGAGGGTTGTACAATTGTTCCACAAAATAGTTTGCAAACTCTCAGTGAAAGAACTGCCAAAATCTCTCTCCAATCGCTCTCTTTTACAAAAATTTTGTGTTAAAAGACGACTTCCAGTAAAAATTTGCAACAATCATGGCACAACTATAAGGGCCCAATTCACGCCAGCCGACTACCTCAAATTTAATGTCAAAAATGATAACAATGTTTAAGGGTAACCAGACATGCCTACAACCAGCAATTAACAGATGTTTAAGAGGGTGAAATAAAAAAAACTGCAAAAAAGTTTTAAGTTTTTTTTTAAATGTCGGAAATAGCATCAAATTTTAGAATAAGTTTAGATTTATTCGAATTAGTCACCTTTGGCACAAATTATGCCCTTCAAACGGCCAATGAAACCGTCACACTCTGCCCGAATGTTGCTCTGCGGTATTTTGGCCCATTTGGCCCGGCGAAACGCTTGCTTGAGGTGATCGACACTTTGATATTTTTTAGTGCCAAGTGCTTTCCAAAATACTCCAGACACAATAGTTCAACGAATTGGTATCCGGAGATTTTGGTGGCCATTGGGCGCTGAAAATGAAGCGAGGACCCTCAATTTGTAACCAATCTTGCGTGGCGAATGCTGAGGGCGATGGTGCTGAGTCTCGTTGGAATGTCCAAGATCTGCGGCCAAAATGTTTGCGTGCCCTAGGCATTAATATGTACACCCTCCAGAAAATATTCTCGCGATAATATTCAGCATTTATTCTGATACCACAGTCGATTACTACGAGCGGAGAGCGACCATCGGCTGTTATGGCGGCCCACACAATCACCATGGCCGGCGCTTGAGTTCTGATGGCCAACTGAAGGTGCACATTTTCAGATGAGCTCTTTGGCAAGTAAACACGATCATTTTGTTTGTTTAGAAACTGCTGGACAACGAATGTTCTCCTTTTCTCATCGGAGAAAATCAAATTCGGCAGTTAACCACTTTCGGCCAAGCGAAGCAACTCTTTAGCTCTTTTAAGTCACTGCGACGCGTGTTTCGATCAAGTCGCTTCTTTACTTTTCGAACCATTTCTGCTGATGTTGCTGTTTTCTTCCGTCCACTTCTTTGGACCAAATGCGTTTCAGGACATTTGGAGTCTATATAACGATGTCCATCTGTCTGTCTGGCTGGTGCGCACAATAACTCTCGAAGGGAATATTCGATTTGGTCCAAACTTGGTACATCATAATATTATTATCAAATTTATATCGAGTTCGGAGATAGGCAATATCGGTCCACTCCTTCTAGTACCTCCAACAAAAAAGGTAGAAATTTTCAAAAAAAAAAAAAAAATTTTCCCAAACAGAAAGAGAAAGGATAATACGATTTTGCTCCAACTTTGCAAATCCTAATATTTGCATTATTGCTAGGTCAGGTGCGAAAATGGACAATATTGGTTCACTGCATCAAGTACCTTCCCCACAAAGGATCAACATTTTGCATAATTATTAGTCTTATAGAATGTGATGTAAGAGTCCGATTACCTTCAAATTACACACATCACAATATATTTATTAACCGAAGGTCTGGTGTGAAGATGGGATATATCGCTTCACTCCTTCTGACACTTCCCCAATAAGGGTAAAAATTTTGAATAACCATACCGATTATAAAATCCAAAATAAGCACTCGATTCTCTTCATATTTCTCACATCAAATTATTTCTACTTAAAGAAGATCTGCTGTGAATATGGAAGGTATGTCCTCTCCTTCTGGTACCTTCCTCATTTTAAACATTCATAGAGCTCATAAGACTTGAAATTAAAATCCGATTCCATTCAGACTTAGGACATCTGAATATTTCTATCTACACATGATGTGTTATAAAGATGGTAGAGTTTGGACCATTCCTTCTGGTACATCCGCCACATAGGGTTAAATATTTTGAAAAGCTAAACGCTCAAAGAAAACGAAATAAGCATCCAACTCTATTCAAATTTCACACACACAAACATATTGGTAACACAAGATCTGTTGTGAATATCTGCGAACCCCTTCTGGTACTACACCCACATAGGGTCACCGTTTTTCAATACTTTCATCTGTCATAACTTGCGAAACAAGTCAGCGATTCTTTACAACTCGCTGTATCTAAATATTTTTCTCAACCAGAAAACTAACATGAAAGTGTTTATGATTTCGCATAAAATTGAATATAAATGTTCGATTTTCTTGTAATTTTTTCAATACCAATATTTTTTATCTGTATTGGATGAGGTGGGAAAATTTAATATTTCGGTCGACTATATCTGGTATCTGGAAAAAGTAAAGGAATTAGTTGATATAGTCCAAACCTGGCACGTCGCAATATTTATGTCATATTTATTTGAGTCTGATACGAAATGGACAATATTATCCCATTCCTTGGTCATCAATTGGAATAATCAGAACAGAAATCAAAATATATTTAAATAATCGAACATTGGCCTAGGGTATACAACTGTCGGCAAAACCGACTGATACTTTTTAACTTGTTTTAAGTTTTGTTCGAATTATTTGACTATCAACAATTAACAGATGTTTAAAATGCATTGCGATAAAAAATTCTTTTCGATATATGTACCTATCATTTCGGATCACTTACCTCATTTTTTCTCTGTTATTGGTGAACTTTGTTATGTCATAAAGTTCGTGTGGTTATCAGGGATATAAATCGTTAAAATGCATATCCAAGATAAGATCGTTGTTATTTGTTTGCTGTGATTTGCTTTTATCCGCTCGCATATTGACGTATTTATGACGATTATGTGCGGTCATAAACTAATTGTTTATATCCGATATCGTTGTTTTGGTTAACAGCGTGAAGGAGCCTTACCCCTTTTTCACACCAATAAATAGTACAACTATTGGGTGCATTTTCTGGATGTTAAAATTACATTTTTGGCGGTATTGTGAGGGCATTATTGGCAGAAGAAGAACATTTGGTAATAGACATGGTGGAAGAAAACAGGTTTGGTAACATTGATATGTCAAAATTATTAAAATGCTTTGTCAATAATTAGTAGATTTTTATATGTGTTGTTATGCGACGCAAATCGGAGGTTGTTCTTAAAAGCATTTTTCAATCATTTTTACAAATTTCAACATTTTACAATTTCCAAAATCGGGTTGACAGTCATTGTTCTTCTACCATGGTTTAAGCCCAAGAACAGATAAATAAACATGGTCTTTCTGGGATATGGAACGAATAACTGTTCTTACGTGCGAAGAACGCCAAAAATGAGAGATTATTCATTATTTTTATAAAATCTGCCACTCGACATGCGTAAATATTTTAGATACGAAAACAAATTACCAGATCGAGTTTGCCAGAAAAGGGTTGCCATATTATAATTAGCAAATGAGTCTAGCCTCTATTGCTTTGCCATGGTTCTCATTTATCTATTCACAATATTGAATAAATAATTATTTTCATTTACAATAGAAGTCCCTGTTTTGATCCCCGATTTTCCTCACCGCCCAAATCCCCCAAATTTTACTTCCGCCAAATTTTGATAGGGATTTTATTGGTCCAAAAATCGGAAATCTCGTAAATGGATTTTTTCTAACTGCGGTAAATGTCCTAACTTGGAAGAGTGTTGTTTTTATACCCTCCACCATTCTAGGAAGACTGGAGAACCACAAGTGGCTATCGTTAGAGCACTCCAGCATTTAAATGTGAATAAATCTTTTGTGTCTCGTACCATCGCTCGTTACCGTGATACTGGTGGTAGCGTAGCCCGACGTCAAGGAAGTGGGCGGAAGAAAACAGCAACATCAGCAGAAATGTTTCGAAAATGTTTCGCAGAGGCCGAAAATGGCTGCACATATCGCAATATTCCATTCGGCAAATATTGGAAAATGAGGTCGGGGCAAGGCCATTGAAATTCCAAAAAGTGGAAGAACTTACACCGCAACAGAAAGAAAATAGACTCAAAAGAGCTAAAAAGTTGCTTCGCTTGGCCGAAAGTGGTGAACTGCCGAATTTGGTTTTCTCCGCTCCGATGAGAAAACATTCGTTGTCCAGCAGTTTGTAAACACACAAAATGATCGTGTTTTCTTGCCAAAGAGGTAAGCTGGAAATGTGCACCTTGCACGATTGGCCACCAGAACTCAAGCGCCGGCCATAGTGATGGTGTGTGCCGGGCCGCCATAACAGCCGATGGTCGCTCTCCGCTCGTATAAATCGACCGTGGCATCAGAATAAATGCCACGGTGTATTAAAGCCTTGGGCACGCAAACATTTTGGCCGCAGACCTTGGACATTCCAACAGGACTCAGCACAATCGCCCTCAGCATACGCCACCCAAGAATGGTTACAAAATGAGGTTCCCCGCATCATTTCCAGCGCACAATGGCCACCAAAATCTCCGGATACCAATCCGTTGGACTATTGTGTCTGGAGTATTTTGGAAAGTAAGGTTGGCACTAAAAAATACCAAAGTGTCGATCACCTCAAGCAAGCGCTTTGCCGGGAATGGGCCAAAATACCGCAGAGCAACATTCGGGCAGCTTGTGACGGTTTCATTGGCCGTTTGAAGGCCATTTTTCATGCCAAAGATGACCATTTCGAACAAATCTAAACTTATTCTAAAATTTGATGCTATTTCCGACATTTTTATACCTTCCACCACAGTATGGAGGGTATATTAAGTTTGTCCGTCTGTCTATCCGTCCGTGGAAATCACTCTAGCTTCCGAACGAAATGAAGTAGGTTGATAAAATTTTACTCAAATATGTATTATGTCTGCAGGATTTTGTCCACGTCTACGTATAGCCCCCATGTAACGATACCTCCAGATTTTCGGTATTTTGATGATTTAAGCCGCATTATTTACCGGAATTGTTTCAAATTTGGTATTTGAAGTTCGTAATGGATGCTACAGCATGAGGGAGAAAATTGTCTGTACAGGTCCACGTCTTCGTATAGCCCCTATATTCCTCCCGATATTCGGTATTTTGATGATTTTAGCGACATTATTCACCGGAATTATTTCAAATTTGGTATTTGAAGTTCAAAATGGATACTGCAGTCTATGGCAGAAAATTGTATGTGCAGGTTTACGCCTTCCTATAGACCTCATATAACGATACCTCCCCATATTCGGTATTTTGACGATTTTAGCGACATTATTCATCGGAATTGTTTCAAATTTCGTAATCGAAGTTCGTAATTTATACTTCGGCCTAAGACAGAAAATTGTCTATGCAGGTCCACGTCTTCGTGTAGACCCCATATAACGATACCTCCCGATATTCGGTATTTCAATAATTTTAGCGGTATTATCCAACAGAATTGTTTCAAATTTCGTTACTTGAAGTTCGTAATGGATACCTCAGCCTATGACAGAAAATTGTTTGTGCCGGTCCACGTTTTTGTATAGCCCCCATATAACGATGCCTCCCGATATTCGGTATTTTAATCATTTTAGCGGTATTATTCACCGGAATTGTTTCAAAATTGGTAATCGAAGTTCGTAATTGATACTTCAGCTTAAGACAGAAAATTGTCTGTGCAGTTCCACGACTTCGTATAGACCCACGGTACCTCCCGATATTCAGTATTTTGATGATTTTAGCGGTATTATGCACCAGAACTGTTTCAAATTTGGTATTTGAAGTTCGTAATTGATACTTCAGCCTAAGACAGAAAATTGTCTGTGCAGGTCCACGTCTTCGTATAGCCCCCATATAACGATAGTTTCCGATATTCGGTTTTATTCACCAGAGTTGTTTCAAATTTCGCATTTGAAGTTCGTAATGGGCACTACGGCCTATGACAAAAAAGTGACTGTGCAAGTCCCCGTCTTCGTATAGCTCCCATATAACAATATTTCCCGATATTCAGTATTTTGATTATTTTAGCGGAATTATTCACCAGAACTGTTTCAAATTTGGTATTTGTAGCTCGTAATGGGTACTACAGCCTATGACAGAAAATTGTTTATGCAGGTCCTCGTCTTCGTATAGCTCCCATATAACAATATTTCCCGATATTCAGTATTTTGATTATTTTAGCGGAATTATTCACCGGAATTGTTTCAAAATTGGTAATCGAAGTTCGTAATTGATACTTCAGCTTAAGACAGAAAATTGTCTGTACAGGTCCACGTTTTGCTATAGCCCCCATATAGTGGTACCTTCCGATATTAGGTATTTTGATGATTTTAGCGGTATTATTTACCAGAATTGTTTCAAATTTCTTAATCGAAGTTCGTAATTGATACTTCAGCCTAAGACAGAAAATTGTCTGTGCAGGTCCACGTTTTCGTATAGCCCCCATATAACGATACCTCCCGATATTCGGTATTTCGATAATTTTAGCGGTATTATGCACCAGAACTCTTTCAATTTTTCGCAATCGAAGTTCATAATGGGTACTAGAAAGTATGACAAAAAAGTGTCTCTGCAGGTCCTCGTCTTCTTATAGCCCCCATATAATTGTATCTCCTTCCATATAATGGTACCGACATTTTTTCAAGTTTCGCATTTAAATATTGTAATGGCTTATGACAGAAGTTGCCTATGCAGGTCCACGTCGTCGTATAGATCCCAATATAACGGCTACATTGGTTATTTTTAAGATTTTAACAGAATTTTTAACGAATTTTTTTTTTTTTTTTTTTTTGAAAATTCCCAAATTCGTTCCAAATGGTGGAGGATATTCAAAGTTCGGCCCGGCCGATTTTAAAGCTTTTTTACTCATTCTTTTTTCTATTTGCAATTTCTTTTGGCCCACAATTTTTCAGCCCATATTTTATTCGGCATGTTATTGCCGGCGACACATTGACTAAGCACCCAAAATTAGTGGCTACCTGACCGGCGGTATTAGGTGCAAAAATTTTCCAAAATAACACACACCATTTTTTTTTTGTTTTAAATCACGAAGGATAGATGGATGTTTTGCGTGACTTTGGACAACAAATGCAATTTTATAATTGATCATGTCGCTGAGGTTCGGCGGTATCTTTCGGCAGAATGGCGGAGGTACTTAAGTGGCTGTTGGTTATCAATAAAGTCAAATGATGGAAGAGTCAGTTAGAAATAGAGGTGGGAATAGCGACGATAAGACGGCAAGGGGGGGGGGGGTGTTAGGTAAGTAAACAAAAGCTGTGACCGAACTCGAGACATTCCAGGGAAAACAACAAAATCTGCCAATCAGTGTTTGGGGGGCGATTAGGGGGAAATGGTGACGTCGTGTGATACCACGCGACTAAATGACATAGCTTCGTTCGGCAGCAAAACAAAAAAAAAAAAACAAAAACTCTGTACTAAATCTATAAAGGGGTGGGTATGGAGGGTGGGGTATTGGTCCCCTTAGCCCAATAAGCCACCCGAAGCATTTGTTTCTTTTTTGGGCCATATCAGTATTGAATGTTAAGCCAATTGATTCGCGACCATTCTGGTTAAGTAGCGCAGTATTTCTATATTTAAAAAGAAAGAAGAAGAAGAAGCAAACGAAGAACGAAAAAAATACGTTGAACAAAACAAAAAAAGATTGGCATTCAATTATTTGCAAAGTTGTTTAAATACAAGTCCAAAAAAAGAAAAGAAAAATAAAATATTTGAAAAAAAAATAAAAAATAAATACCAGCGGAAATTTAAAGAATTCATAAATCAGCTGTTGCTCTAATCAATTGTTTTGTATAACAAAAAAAAAAAACAAAAAAACAAATAGAAAAAGAGATTCCCCTATAAATTTGAAAACTTCCAACGCCACAGCACGGATTTGCCGGACAAGTCTTTATGAAAGCTAACCATCATCGCCACCAACCCTGACGAGCATGAAAGCCGTTTATTATTTGAACATTTTGTTGTTACTTCTCTGTTGGAGTTTCAACCTGGTATTGGCCGGAACTATAAGCCGATACGCCGATAGCGTCTACAAGAGATATTTAATGTCCCGCTCATTGCCCTTTGAAGATTGTGGTAAGTTGCGAAAGCAAAATATCGAAACTATCAATTTCAAAATAAAAAAGAAAATAAATATTTGTTATTGTTAGTTTTGTAAACATTAAAAAAAAAAAAAAAAATTAAAAAAAAAATCAAAAATCAAATCCCCCTCGGTTTTGATAAGCCGGGAGTTACTGTTTGCTTGCTGGTCGTCTGGTAGCCAAAAGTCATTAAAATTATTAATTGCTTGGCAATAAAAAAATAGCTGCGTTGCTTGCTTTTTTTTATTGACCAAATTGTTATTGTGCTGAAATATTTTCGTGTTCGCTTTTATTGTTGTTTTGTGTTAGTTACGATCACAATCTCGGGAAGGAGTTATTTTTGTATTTAAAAATAAATAATAAATATCAGTGCCGGGTGATTGATTTCTTTTCCCCCTGCCGTGGGAATTTTGTGGATTTTTTTTATCGTAAATTTGGGTAATGATAAAAGGCAGTAATTAAAAAAATACAAAGTGTAGAGTAACAGAATTTTCCGAAATTCTGGTCGCATGTCATGCCGGCTAGGTCGTATTATAACTCATACAAATAAATGAGATATAGAGAACTTTCGGTACAAGTTGCGGAGTATTTTTTTTTTTTTTTTTTTTTGCGAAATTTATTTTATGCTCCTATTGGACCATGGTCCAAAGGGTCCAGTAGGAGTATAAAATAACTTTCGACAAAAAAAAAAATAAATAAATAAAATACTCCGCAACTCGTACCGAAGTTTCTCTATCTGAGAACATCGAATCGACATTTTTAATTAATTCCTTATTATAAAAAAATAACAAGTAAAAAAGCAGTAAGTTCGGCCGGGACGAATTTTGAATATCCTCCACCATTTGGAACGATTTTGGAAATTTTCAAAAAAAAAAAAAAAAAAAAAAAAACTAAAATTTGTTAAAAATTATGTTAAAATAAAAATTCCGAATATAGCCGTTTGGGGTCTATTCGAAGACGTGGACCTGCATAGGCAACTTTTGTCCTAGGTCATTACAATATTCAAATACGAATCATGGAAAAAATCTGGTGAATATGGGACCTAAAATCGTCAAAATACCGAGCATAGGGAGGAACCGTTACATGGGGGCTATGCGAAGATCTGAACCCTAAGCAAGTGCAATATTTTGTCATAGACTGTAGTTCCCATAACGAACTATAAATACGAAATTTCAAACAATTTTGGTAAATGTTGCACCTAAAATCGTCAAAATATCGAATATCGTTAGGTACCGTTATATGAGAACTATACGTGGACCTGCATAGACAATTTTCTTTCACAGGCTTTAGTATCCATTACGAACTTCAAATACCAAATTTGAAACAATTTCGGTGAATAATGTTGTTAACATTAGCAAAATACCGCATATAGGGAGGTATTGTTATATGGGGGCTATGGGAAGACCTGGACCTGCATAGACAATTTTCTGTCACAGGCTGTAGTTCCCGTTAGGAACTTGAAATACGAAATATGAAACCAATCCGGTGAATATTGTACATAATATTAGTCAAAATGCCGAAAACAGGGAGGTAAAGTTATATGGGGGCTATAGGAAGATCTGAACCGGCATAAGCAATTTTCTGTCACAGGTTGTAGTACCTATTATGAAGTTCAAATGCAAAATATCAAACAATTCCGGTGAATATTGTACCTAAAATCAGTCAAAATGTAGAAAATAGGGAGGTAAAGTTATATGGGGGCCATAGGAAGATCTGAACCGACATAAGTAATTTTCTGTCACAGGCTGTAGTGTCCGTTGCGAAGTTCAAATGCGAAATTTGAAAGAATTCCGGTGAAAATGTCGCTTAAATCATCCAAATAGCAAATATAGGGAGGTACTGTTATATGGGGGCTATGCGAAGACCTTAACCTTCAAGGACAATATTTTGTCATAGACTGTAGTTCCCATAACGAACTTTAAATACGAAATATCAAACAATTTTGGTAAATGTTGCACCTAAAATCGACAAAATACCGAATATCGTTAGGTACCGTTATATGAGAACTATACGAAGACGTGGACCTGCATATACAATTTTCTGTCATAGGCTGTAGTATCCATTACAAACTTCAAATACCAAATTTAAAACCATTACGGTGAATAATGTAGCCAAAATCATCAAAATACGAAATATAAGGAGGTACTGATATATGGGGGCTATACGAAGACCAGGACATGCACAAGCAATTTTCTGGCACAGGCTGTAGTGTCCGTTACGAAGTGCAAATACGAAATTTGAAACAAATTTGGTGAAAAATGTCCCTAAAGTAATCAAAATTCCGAATATCGGGAGGTACTGTTATATGGAGGCAATTCGAAGACCTGGACCTACATGGACAATTTTCTGTCATAGGTTGTAATATCCAATACGAACTTCAAATCCCAAATTTGAAACAGTTCCGTACATCGAAAATAGGGAGGTAGAGTTATATGGGGTTTATAGGACGATCTGAACTGGCATAAGCAATTTTCTGTCATAGGCTGTAGTACCCATTACGAAGTGCATATACGAAATTTGAAACAATTCCGGTTAAAAATGTGGCTAAAATCAGAAAAAAAAACCAATGAATGAAAGCAAAAAATATCGGAAATATCAAATTTTAGAATTAGTTTAGATTTGTTCGAATTGGTCACCTTTGGCACGAATTATGGCCTTCAAACGTTCAATGAAACCTTCACACGCTACCCGAATGTTGATCTGCGATATTTTGGCCCATTTCCGGCGAAGCGCTTGCTTGAGGTAATCCATACTTTGGTATTTTTTAGTGCCAACCTTGCTTTCCAAAATACTCCAGACACAATGGTCCAATGGATTGGTATCCGGAGATTTTTGTGACCATTGTGCGCGGAAAAATAAAGCAAAGATTGATTTTTCCTAAAATTTTTGGAAAAATTGAATTTTGTCGCTCAGTGTTATATATCAACAATGTATTTAAATATTCCACTTGGCTTCTTGTTCGTCTTCGTAATATACACTCACAGTCATGTGAATGACGCACCCCATGGCGTATAATTTATGTTCGCCATACCATGAAGTATACGCTCAAACCCCTCCAATAAATTCTGAAAAAAAAACGATAATCAAAAATTGCCTGTAGTCGAATTGAAGACGTTTTCAACAACAATTATTGTTCGTTTCGATGACTAGTAATTCTAAACGAGAAATACAAATAAAATTTAGGAGCGGGACTGAGACTGATAGTATAGAGGAAGAGAAAAAGTGGTAGCAAATCAAACATTTTCTCAAGAAGTAGGGGTAAACTCTCGACTAAAAGAATGAATTTGAAATTTGAAAAAATTCAATCAAATAAAAATAAAAAATAAATATTTTCCTTTTTAATATGAAATGTTCCATTTGAATCTTTATCCTTTGAATTTTTTATTTCCAATATTTGAATCACTCTATTTATCATTCGAAACACTCCATTTCAAAATGTCAAATTCGAAAATTAATCAAATTTATAGTCGATTTATGTTTGACGAAAAAATTGCGATATGAAAATCGGATGATTCCTACAGAAAGTCAGACGAATAGACATGGCTAAATCGACTCCTGATATCGATTCCATCCAAGGAGACACGGTATCTAAAATCGTAGCCCTAAGACTGAGGATATAACAATTATTGTACAGATTTGATCGTTTTCACTGGGGAGTGAAACTTGTTCGCGAGCAGGATTGCTCGAAGAGTGAAAGATTTTTACGGAGTCTACCCGTCACTCTTTAGTTTTGCGCTTCCGAGTCATTGTGTGTGCGTATGTGTAATAGAAAACCGTGTTGCTGTGAACTGCAGAAGATGGGGGGAGTATAGTAGAAGAGCGAAGAGAGGATAAGAAGGGGGGGGGAAGAAGGAAGAAGAGGGGAGAGCAAGGAGGCAGAGAGGGGAGACGAAGGAAGAAAAGGGGAGAAAAATGAAGAAGATAGGGAGAAGAAGAAAGAAGAGAGAGTAGAAGAGGGGGAAGAATAGAGGGTAGAAGAGGGGGAATTATAGATGGGAGAAGAGGGGGAAGAATAGTGGGAAGAGGGGGAAGAATAGTGGGAAGAGGGGGAAGAATAGAGGAAGAAGGGGAAGAATGGATGGGAGAAAAGGGGGAAGAATGGATGGGAGAAAAGGGGGAAGAATGGATGGGAGAAGAGGGGGGAGAATAGATGGGAGAAGAGGGGGAAGAATAGATGGAAGAAAGGATTGAAGAAGAGGTAGAAGAAAGGATTGAAGAAGAGGTAGAAGAAAGGATTGAAGAAAAGGTAGAAGAAAGGATTGAAGAAGAGGCAGAATAAAGGATGGGAGAAGAGGCAGACGAAAGGATTGGAGAAGAGGCAGATGAAAGGATTGGAGAAGAGGCAGATGAAAGGATTGGAGAAGAGGCATATGAAAGGATGGGGGAAGAAATGATGGAGGAAGAGGGGGAAGAAATGATGGGGAAGAGTGGGAAGAAAGGATGGGAGAAGAGGCAGAAGAAAGGATTGGAGAAGAGGCAGATAGAAGGATGGGGGAAGAGGGGGAAGAAAGGATGGGAGAAGAGGGGAAGAAAGGATGGGAGAAGAGGCTAAAGAAAGGATTGGAGAAGAGGCAGAAGAAAGGATGGGAGAAGAGGGGAAGAAAGGATGGAAGAAGAGGCAGAAGAAAGGATGGGAGAAGAGGCAGACGAAAGGATGGGAGAAGAGGCAGACGAAAGGATGGAGGAAGAGGGGGAAGAAAGGATGGGAGAAGAGGCAAAAGAAAGAATTGGAGAAGAGGCAGAAGAAAGGATGGGAGAAGAAGGGGAAGAAAGGATTGAAGAAGAGACAGAAGAGAGGATGGGGAAGAAAGGATGGTAGAAGGGTGAGAAGAGGGGAAAATAGAAGGGTGAAGAAGGGCGAATAAGGGGGAGGAGGGATGTGATCGTGTACAGAAAAAAAGCAGATACATGGAAATACCACAACGACATGGCAACAACTAAAAGAGTGTTTGGCAAGAGGAGAATCTGCTCGATTTCGGACGAATTTTGCTGCCA